TCATACAACAGGATAATTCTAAACCACATATAGATATTAGTGATCTGGAATTTGTGAGATATGCAAAGGAAGGTGATTGGGACATTGAATTACAGTTTCAGCCCTAAAATAGTCCAAATTTGAATGCTCTTGACCTTTGTTTCTTTAAGTCAATAAATGTATTGCAAGACAAGACTGCACTCAGGTCAATGATAGAGTTGATCACTAATGTCACAAGATCTTTTGACCCACTCACAACCCAGACCTTAAATAATGTTTTCTTAACCTATCAGGAGGTAAAGGGTGAGGTTCTCAAGCACAAAGGGGGAAATGAATTTAAAATACCATATATGGGGAAAGAGATGTTGGCTAGGGAAGGTTTGCTACCTGAGAACATAGCACTGGATGTCTAAGTGTATGAACAAGTTGTCCACTTCTCAAAACTAAACGATTAAGCTATAGAGGGCAGTAGTTTTGTGTATCTCTTTTTTTGCTTTGTACATCTACAGACAACATCACACTTTTTTTGCTTTCTGGTTTATGTTTAGTCCATGTGTGCATATTGTGTAATGATTTAGTACTATATCATGAATGTAAAAGTATAAGCAGTATCATGAATGTAGTATATCATGCCTAGGGACATATAACAGGATGTCATTGCCTTAGAAAAACTTGGAAATAGACTTTCAAGTTCTATCATAAGCATATAAAAGGTCAATCATACTTAGAAACTTATAACATAGTGTCATTGCCTTAGAAAAACTTGGAAATAGAGTTTCAAGTTCCATTATAGACATTAGGGCTGTTAACGGATAGTCGAAAATCCGATTACCGTCCGCATCCGTATCCGTTTTAAAGTGGAAATATCCGCATTCGTTTTAAATGGATATTATTCGTATCCGATTAAGGATATCCGATTACTAAGCGGATGCGGATTTGGTAATTATATATCCGATCCGTTTAAAATCCAATCTGAATATGCATCCGTTTAAATAACTGTTTATCCGAATATCCGATCCGTTATATATAGTTTTTTCTAATTTTTTTATGTTTATATTTTGTTTCTCTATTGATATTTCAAAGCATAAGACATTTTTATATACAAAATAAATATGTAGACACATAAAGATATGTGCAGACATATAAAAGTATGCGTATATGTCTAATGTGTATATCTTCTTATCATATGAAGTTATCATAGAATATCATAAATCATGAAAACAAAGAAAATAATCATCCCATAACAAATTATAGTTGATTCAATAATAGTTTAACTTTAATCTAATTTAAAATTAAAGTATTGTTTAATTTGATTTTAAAATTGGAAACGGATACGGATATATCCGATATCCGACGGATGCGGATACAGTTTTGATTTCCAATATCCGTCAAGATTCGTATTCGAATTCGATATCGACAAAAATAAATGGATACGGATTTGGTAATGGCACATCTGATCTGATTAATATCCGTTTACACCCCTAATAGACATATAAAAGGCCAATCATAGTTAGGGACTTATAACAAAGTATCATTGCCTTAGAAAAACTTAGAAATAGAGTTTCAAGTTCCATCATAGGCATATAAAAGGCCAATCATACTTAGGGACTTATAACCAGGTATCATTGCCTCAGAAAAACTTGAAAATAAAGTTTTATTTTCCATCACAAGCACATACTTAAGGACTTATTACAGGGTTGCATCACACGGATATAAAAGGAACAACATCCACCATAGGCACACAAAAGTTTTATCCCACTTAGGCAGGTAACATAGGAACTCAGAGACAAACATAAACATTCTCACTTTCTGTAGACATTCAACATTACAAACAACAGCCATGAGTAAACACATGGTCCTAGCTAATTGAGCATTGTAAGCCTCCAAACTTGTAGGGTGGCATTACAATCTAGTAATTCTCCCATATTTCAGAAAAAGTAAGGTTTGCATCATTAGTTTGCCCAAAATAACGCTATCAAGTGTACATACAACGATTATAAATTTAGTCTTCAAGAATGTGAGCCTTCCTTATTTTGGCTAAACGTCAAAATTGGAAGAGTTTATTGAAACGGAGCATAAAGAACAGAGGATTGAAGCATGATACTCTGTTGAAGTCGCTTGAGCTTCGATGGACTTCCATCTAGTTGAGAAAAGAAAATCTCTCTATCGGAGGTCATTTCTCGAATCTCTTCTATGGTAAATGACTCAACCTCTGAATCCTCTAAGGCTCTGTTCCGTACACCTGATTTGATTAAATCTGATCTGAATTTTTGAAGTTTTGATCTGATCTGATTAGAACTGATCTAATCTGATTAGATCTAATCTGATCTGGTTAGGTCTGATCTGATTGGGTCTGATCTGATCTGATTGAATCTGATCTGATTGGATCTGATCTGATTAAATCTGATTTTCTCTAATTAGATCTGGTGTAAATGAATTTAAATTTGATTTAAATTAAACATAAAATTGTTACAAAATTCAATAGTTTTAAAGTATTATAATTCATATATACATAAAAAAAGTAAAATAAGAAAATTAGCTAATCATTAATATGTTTAAACTTTTTTTAAAATATTAAACATCTTAATTATCATAACTTTTTAAATTTGTGTGAAAACTAAATAATCGGTATTAAAATAAACAAATATTAGAAAATATTGATGCTATTCTAAAAAAATATCACATTCTATATACATATTGCATAATAATATATTTCATGTTAGAAATTAAAGATCATATAAAATTTTAAACACTAATATTTCTTTCACCTCTATCAATTTTGTCATAAACTCACCCTTGTGTATATTATATCATCCTAAAGTTTAAAAGTAGGTCTTTTTACGTATAAAATATTTATAGTTTTGAAAACTAAGTTCTGTATAATTATTTTTTAAACAAGTATTTTAAAATAACTCTTTTTAAAGTATGAAAAATAAAACTTTTTAAGCTTTAACATTGCTTCCATGCATCATTTCTATCCTACAAGCTAAACAATTATTTAAAATAATGGTTTGTAGTTGAAATATAATAACAATAATAATAGTAATAATAATAATAAAAATAATAATAATATAACAACAATAATATTTAAAATTATAATATTAATTAAGATTTCGGTGTGTGTAGTTTTAAATAAAGTAATGTGATTTAATGAAATAATAGTAATTATTATTTAATCCTTGAAAAATATAAATATTATCTTTTATATTTTTCCTTGATTTATTATTTTTGGATTTGATCTGATTGGATCTGGTCTGATCTGATTGGATCTGATCTGATCTGATTTGATTGAGTCTGATTTGATCTTATTGAGTCTGATCTGATCTGATTGAATCTGATCTAATTGGATCTGATCTGATCTGATTAGGTCTAGTCTGATCTGATTTTAATAAGAATAAGTAATAAGTAGAAAAAATAAGTCCTACGGAAGGAACCTAAGTCGCCTTCTTCCAGGTCTAAATTCCACTCTACTCTGTCGGGAAGATGCTCACCCCAAGGCATTTTTTCCGGTAGTTCCATGACAAATCGATGTTAGCTGAGTCAGATGCATCAAGGTTGTAAGAAGGAAAACATACCTTCCGCTTGTGCAATTGAAGACTTCCTGTATGAAAAAGGGGAGGGACTTTCTCATCGCTTTACTCAGCAGGCGAAAAGAAGGCATGTTCAGATTTGGAGAAGGAGGGGAGGACACCATGGAAAATTGGATCAGTGGGGATAAGGGGTAGGTGAGGATAGGGTTGAGAGAAGAGAGAGAATCGACGCGTTTGGATTATGTTGTGGGATGGGTGCATGGGATGGATAGTCTTTTAGGGTTGAGGGTATTTTAGGAAAATTTAGTGGGGTGGAAGTGTTTGGTGGAAAACCAAAAAATGAAAAAGAAAGTATTTATTAAAACGGAGGGAGTAAATTATTTTTAAATTATGATGAAAAAATATAATTAAATTTTATATGAAATAAATTTAAAATAAGAAAACCAATATATTTCACACATAGATAAATAAATTACAATAAAACTTTTCAAAAGTTAGGGAGGTATGGAGTATATATCATATCTAATATAACTATAATATTATAAATACTTTAAGTTTATATTCTATTTAGATGTTTTTCCTTTTGTTTTGGAATTGATTTTTTTGACAGGGGCACAAATATATTTTTATTGGGGGCAAATGTTTAATTTAATCGATTGTTAAAAATTTTTACACGGTATATTAATATAAAACACCAATGTCATGGGATGACCCGAGGGCGCTCCGGTGCTCCGTTCGTAAAATTGATGGTTCCTACCCCCGGTAAATCCTCCCACCCCGCCCCGGCCCAAACACCCCCCCCCCACCCCCTTCAATTTCACCCCACAAGTTGATTTTGATTTTGGAGTCAAAATTTGACTCCAAAGTCAAAATCAACTAATAGGGTGCAATTGTAGGGGGTGGGGGGGTGTGTTCGGGTCGGGACGGGTGAAGGGTTTACCGAGAGAGTTAGGGGGTAGGAACTATCAATTTTACGAACGGGGCACCGGAGCGCCCCGAGTGACATTTTGATCGGGGCAGGTACCCTTACACCATTGTTAACAAAGTAAAAAATTAAAAATATTTACCGGGGTATTCCAGTCAACTACAAATGTATGGGACCCACGCTGTCTTTTTTCCTCTCAATACCACCCCACAAAAAACAAGTACCCACCAAAACTTAGAGAAGAAAGTTATAAAAAAAACTCACCCTTATATATTTATTTTTCGCCCAAATTAAAATTAAACAGTACACTCCTTCCGGACATCATATATTTGTAATATTATTTTGTCCCAAAATTTTAATATTATTTTGAACAGCATTCAAAATTAAATCTCCTCTATGACGGTTTTATTTACGAATTGATGTAGAAATAAAAAACAATATACAAATGACATATTTAGAAAAATAGAAAGTACATCAAAGTTATACAAAATAAAATGTGAAAAGATATTTATTTTATCAAATAATAGTTATACAAAAGATAAAGAAATAATTTAAAACCACTACATATTTAAAAAATATGAGACAAATAGAAAAAAAATGAAAAGTTCATTTTGAGTCGCAATAAACATATAGATTCTTTGGCTTTGGTAACATTTTAAACCTCAGATTGCATGCCATTTCTAATTAGATCAAACAATTAACTTAAATCGTGAATGAATTGTGACATTCAAACGGATCAACAACCTCGGAAATTGAGCTCTTCTCCTTTACTAATGACCCTTAGATCTGTCCAAAGTGACGGTGAAAATTTCGTGTAAAATAACATCAAAGTTAAAGAGCTACGAGATCATCAATTTTACGGGGCCCACGTTCATCCCACGGTTGTAAAACGTCTAAGAGAGTGCTACTGGGTCCCACCACCTACTCGCCTGCCCCTCGTGTCTTAGGAACGCCAGGTGTATAGCGTGTTTGCCAACCTATTTTTCACAACGTAAAGTACTGACGCTGTAAATAACAAAGTAAAAACAAATGAGTGGGGCCCATCCATCTTTTTCCCCTCAATGCCACCCCCACAAAAACAAGTGCCCGGTTTTATACATTTCATAGATCGAACATTATTTTTCGTGTATGTGATAACCGTAAAAAAAAATAGAGTACATCACAAGTGTATATCTAAAGAAGAAACCCCAAAACTCACACAAAATCCCCAAAAACCAAACACTTTTTCAGTCACCCTCTCTCTCTCTCTATGTATACATATAAATATCCCTTTCTCTCTCTATCTCTCCATAGACGATGAGAATGAAGAATCTAAGCTTTTGATCGTCAAAACAAATCCATGGAGAAGAAGGGCGAAAAGCATACAGTAAACAGCTCAATGGGTGACTCGGCATTTTCCGATCAGATTCCGGCGAGCATCTTCGAATTCCCGCCGCCGTTCTCCGATGATCAGCACCCCTTTTCGTTCCTGGACTTGCTCTCCGACTCCCAAGACGACTTCTGCACCATTTTCGACCTCCTCGAAACCGTGCCGCCGCCCTTGTTTCCTCCGCCGCCGCCGGTGCCCGCGTGGCCGGAGGCGGCGAACACTCCGGTGACACCGAACTCGTCGTCGATATCGTCCTCGTCGAATGACGCTGCGATTAAAATTGCTGATGAAGTTGATCAAGATCATCAAGACCAAAACCAGCTTCTGTAAGCTAATTAATTAGTTAATTAAATTAATTAAGCTGCCTCATTTATTTACTATTTTTCTCGTTTATTTAATTTCTGCATTTTTTATTTTTATTTATTTTTAAACTAAGTCCAAAATTGTTTTACTGGATTGGGCGAACACGTTTTCTTCGTTCGTTCCAATTAATTTTAATTAATTTTTATATAAATAAAGACAGTAAAAGGGAAATGGTTTGGACATAATAAGTTCACACCCGATCTAAGGTTTGAAGGGTTTCTTCTTTTAGTACACAGTATTTTATACTCGTATTTCCGGCCACCTGTTACAAATTTTTCCTTTGACTTTCAAGTCAACATTTTCAATATTTTGTTACTAATAAGGAGTACTATTTTTTTATATTAATAAAACATGAATTATAATAGCAATAAAAGAAAGAATGTATATTTGCATAATCTGATTATGTAAATAAAATCAGGGTTTGGGAAAGGTCACATTTTTTTAATAAAAAATAATTGAACAAGTATATCTAATTTTTGGAAATTATTAGTCATAATTCACCAACATATTTAAGGTTTTTTTTTTTTTTTGCATAAGTTTAAAAGTGGAGTATTTTGTGTTATTTTGGCCCCTTTTTTGCACCGTTAGATCTGATCTCAGCTCTTTTTTGCTCTTTACGGTGGGTATTTAAAAAAAAGTGGGTTTTTGTTTTTGGGGTTTATTTCCTCTTCATCCTATACATGTTAACTGGCTTCATATATATTACCTATCTCTCTCTACAAAAACTTAACCTTAGTATCTGATTTTTTTAGTCAAACTGTGTAACACTATACTTTAATCACAAATCAAATACTATTTTAAGTGAGTAATTATTCAAAAATTTCATATATCAAAATTATATTTTTTTTAAATTAACCCAATTTTATATATATATATATATATATATATATATATATATATATATATATATATATATATATATATACCACAATTTATGCTTAAAATGTAACAGAATCTAATGTGAAAAAGTCAAACTGTAATGATCTTTTTAGGACAGAGTGTGAGTAATAGGTTTGTTTTATATTTGGTATATAAACAGGGTGATACCCAAAAAGAAGATTGAGAAGAGGCAAAGAGAGCCGAGATATGCGTTCATGACAAAGAGTGAAATAGATCACTTGGATGATGGGTATAGATGGAGAAAGTATGGCCAAAAAGCAGTAAAAAACAGCCCCTTTCCAAGGTATGTACGGGCTATCCCATTCTTCACTTTCACACGCAACACACACTTTCACAATGCACATTATATTACACACACACACATGTTTAACCACGCAATAAAAGTAAGAAAATGAATGTGTTTATGAACCATCCAATTTAATTCTTTGCCATCATCATATTCAATAATTCCTATGTCCCCTCTATAATATTCTATGGAAGCTAGTTGTGGAATGGTTAGATTGTAACTGCGAGTCACGATTATGTGTATCTTTGAGATTCTTTTTCGTTTAGTGCGGTTTCATACCCAAATTTGTGGAGAAATTGAGGAAGGGGTCGGCGTGAACGAGCTCTGGTGGCTACTTCGATCCCGGCCACATCCCCTCTGATATTTGATTAATTGTTAGAACGTTTTGAATTTATATTTTGTTGGAATCAGGAGCTACTATCGTTGCACAACGACTGGTTGTGGTGTGAAGAAGAGGGTAGAGAGGTCGTTGGAGGATTCAGCGATTGTTGTCACAACATATGAGGGAATGCACAAACACCCGTGCCCCATAACGCCTCGTAGTCACATTGCGAATATGCCAAAGACTGCAGCCATACTAGGTGAACGCGCTAGCCCCTGTCGTGGTGGTGGTGGTGGTGGGAGAGGCAGTGGGAGTTCATCTTTTCTCTTACCTCCTCATCCTAATATGACACACAACCTTCATCCTTGTCCGCTGAACCACCATCACCAGCAGCAACAACAACAACAACTGCAACAACCGATTAATTTTGCAATCGTACCCCCGGATTTCCCTTCTCCTTTGACCTTAATGAACAAACCTCCAACTAGTAAAGCGATTCTCCCCCCACCCAACATTTTGCATCAAGATAGAAGCCCGTCGTCGTTGCTTCTTCCTCGATCTCCAGCTCCTCCCTCTTCAACGACGATCCGAGATGGTGGCCTTCTACAAGATATACTTCCATCTCAAATGAGAAAGGCGCCAAAGAAAGCGGGTGCTGATGATCAAGCGAAAGATGAATGAGTTCTCTTAATTAATTATAACATATCAGAAATGTAATGCCATGTGACATGTGTTTATGTCTTCCTTCTTTAAATATGCTAGTTAATCATGTTTAACAGATCATCCCCATTTAATTTAATGTAGTGTTCATGGCAAAAATCAAGCATGGAGCTGCTAGCTAACTATAGAGCTAGCTAGGTTTTTTAAAGTGGTTCTTTAATTTCTTGTTTCTTTAATTGCATAGTTTTGGATTTTAGGCCATGGAGATATAAAATAATTGGATGGGTTCCATTTGTACATTACTTTGATGAGATCCCTTTTTCATTTAATGGAGTTTCCCTTAGTGCAAAATGATATCTTTTTACCCATTCAGCCTTGTTCCCTTTCATTGCCTTTCTTGTTTCTGCATGCGTGTGCATTGCTGCTGGCTAATTATTATAGTTATATAGATAGGGTTAGGGTTTCATTCAATGAGGAAATTTAAATTCATTCCTTTTTTACAAAAAGGGTATGGAATCATTAAAAGGATTGCTAGTCTTACTATCCCGTCCTAGAGTATTTGTTCGATTTTAAATTTCTACAGTCAAAATTGACAATTTTGACTCCTAGTTAAACAAGTCGATATTAGATATTGATACTAAATTAATTTATTAAATTTATTTTATACAAAATTATTCAAAATATTATTTTATCTAGTTAAATAAGTTACTAATATATACTCCCTTCGACCCTTAAACTCCTTCCCCCTTCTTTTGTTTCTTGTCCCACTAAATCTTCCATTTTTTATTAAAAAACTACTTTTACCTCTTACTTTTTCATACTCTACCTAGCACATCATACATTTTTTCAAATAATCTATCCATCATATCTTACTTTTACACATCACATCAAGGGTATTTTTGGAAAGACAACACCATAATATCCTTCCCTTAATTTCCCAAAAAGTCAATAAAAAGTATACTCCCTCCGTCCCATAAAAGATTTCTCCTTTCTTTTTTCATCCGTCCCATAAAACATTTCTCATTTCTATTAAAAAGTCACTTTTACCCCTTACTTTTTCATACTCTACCTATCACATCATACCTTTTTACTAATAATCTATCCATCAAAACCTACTTTTACCCATCACATCAAAGGACATTTTTGGAAATTCAATACCAAAATACACTCCCTTAAATCTCTTCAAAAAGTAAAATATCTCATGTTTCATGGGACGGAGGGAGTATTTAATTCGAAGTTCCTATTTGATTTGAAGTCAAAGATCGAAAATGATTGGCTGCAATGATTAAGATATTACAATATGGTGGCTTAATGGAGCAACTAATTTTGAAAGGAGTATGTTTTAGTAGAAGTAACTTGTACTTATGTTTAATTCACACTCTTCTACTCCTTCCGATCCGTTTCACAAAATACTTTAACCTTAACTTTTCGTGCATGCCTCAAAACACTAGGGTGGAAGTGTTTTATAGTGTGCGCAAAAAAGTAGGACATAAGTGTTTTGTGGAACAGAGAGAGTATAATTTATTATTCATGTTTTTTGATAAATACTTGTTTTACATCTGATAAATAATTATGCCTCATATTGTCTCGCTTTTTATGATCACTATAAGTTAAATCAAATATTTAAAATTGGTAGCATATTTAGAATGGATTCAGAGAGAACATGAAATTAAATTATTACTCCGTAGATCATAACCATATACGGAGTATACATTACTTGCAAAGTTCAATCAAGTTTGATTTATAAAGTGGGCCGGAAGGAATAGGATTTTTCCCTACCTCTGATTTTTTTTTAGTGAAATATGGAAATTTATTTTTGTTTTAACCAATGGACAATACTCCCTCCGTCCCAAAATATTTGTCCACCTTTGATTTTTTGGTTTCGTCCCTAAATATTTGTCTATTTTGACTTTTTTGGTCAAACTTGGTAAATTTTGACCTCAAATTGAATAAGAATGATGTTAGATATTGATAGAAAAATAGTTTTATTAGATTTATTATATCAAATATTTTCAAAATATTATTTTATCTAATTAATATAGAACATATATATTATTTAATTATAGGTCAAAGATTGAAAATAATTAACCGAAAAAATCAAAACCAGACAAATACTTAGGGAATTGGAAGGAAGTAGTAATTTTTTAAACTTGAATGACAGTGAATTTCAAAGTTGTGGCGGTCAACAAAGCCTCGATACCATTTCAAAGAATCAACTCAACAAAAAGCCCAAGCTTATCGTTGTATGCCCATGACATGAATGGCTTTATATTCTAACATGCTCCCTCATGTGTAGACATAGTTGCTTTGAAACTTAAAAAATTAAACCAACTCAACAAGAAATTAAAATTTGTAGTAATATATAGGTCCATGAAAGAATTTTATGCTGCCATGACCATATTTTTCGTTTCTCCATTTTGAAAAAATCAATTAGTTCGTACAAAATTATCTCTAACCTTTTATAAATATTCTTCAATGACTTATATATATTTCATTTAAGTCATTTTAGAAAAATACTTCAATAAACATCGGATAAATTTATAATTTTTTATCAGTAATAAGTCAATAAGACGAACCAGCATAAACAAACAAATAGTTTGTTACTCCCTAATTTATTTAAGAGAAAGATGAGCAAATAGCTTACAAGATACACTAATATTTTTCACTTAATCTTCTACATTAATTTACTCATGTGTGTCGCCCTCATAGGCTCATATTACCCTATTATGCTAAACGTTAGTTATATAGCCAAGAGTCAAGCCACCTGATCTTGGGCCTCAAGAACTTAGTTTTAACATAATAGAGTTGCATTAAAGCTAATCTATATATTGAACTTTTATAGGCAGTGGGTGTTGTGCAGTTGACAGAGGCAAAGAGTACTAAAGAAGTAAGACCCGAGTTCGATTACTGGTAGCTACGCTAAGAAGCAACTATACTAAGCTTAAAGCCTCTGCATGTACCTGGTGCAGGTTTCACTCATTGCCACCAATCTGTCCGTCTGACCGAGTCTGAGAGAGCCCTCGGGATGGGGCTCATCTACTTTTTTTATTGAACTTTTATAGAGTTGCATTTAAGTTGGATTGTCCAAAAGTAAATGCTACAATGATCAAGGAAGGCGCCTAAAGCCCTTTATTTTAATTAGGGTCCATTAATTGTTTTTAGTTAATACTATGAGTTTTTTACATTATTTATTCCTAAAAATTTGAAAAATTACACAGATTCTCTATTAACTTTAGAAACTATACCAATGGTCTCTGAACTTTTGAAAATGTTATATCAATGACTCATCTACGCCATGTGCAACACTCTCACCGTTGATTGCATGTAATTCTTGCTTTAATTTGAACTAGATCGAATCGGGGTTTGAAAACAATTTCAATTTTATACTCCCTTCATCCCATTTGATAACGCATGTTTCGATTTACGATATTTGACTGAAATTATTTTCAAATCATACGCTAACTTGGGGACTTCTTATTCCAGCTGTTCCAAGAGTCTCCGCTAGTTGAACCGCGTCCAGTAGACGGAATGTTCCGCTCATCCCCTTCGTCAGCTGTTTGATCGAGATACTATTACCGAGGTTCCTAAACTTGTAATGGATGGCGGAGCGTAGGTGGCAAGCAGTTATATGGATACGGTGCTTTACCCGTAGACGCTTCTCCAGCTCTCGCAAGAATTGTATGGGAGTCGTCCTCGGAGGGACTTCCCGAATGACCGTACCGAGGTATTCTACCGTACTCCGTGCAGCTATTGTTGTTGAGTCTACCCAAAGGTTCAGGCCGGATTGTAGGAAGTGGGCGATACGTTTTTGTATTTCTATGAGAAGCTCTATGGAACCCACGATTCCCAGTAGTAAGTCGTCGGCATATCGCGCGTCAAAAATCCTTATTAAGTAATGGGTTTTTAAGGGGACCAGGCCTCTCTCTGACCTGATAACTAGTATCGCCTCCCCGCCCAGCTCTATCAACATGCCCTTTCTTTTGCAATACTTAAAAAAATCTATCATGGCCCAATACTTAAATGGTATAGAATTAAAAAATAAAAATTACATATTAAAAAACTACATCAAAAGATCTACAAAACTAGTAGTGACAATAGTATTTTATTTTATCAAATTGCTAACGAAAGTGAATGAAGTTTGACCTTGTGAATAATGAACATGCATTATAATTTAGGATGGAGGGAGTATCAAAATTTTGTAGGAGACTACCTTCTAAAATCTTAGTAGAATAATGTCTAGGGTACACCAACTTCTCACTACACATTTTTTATTCTCCTTTATAAGAAGCACTCCACATGTGGTGTACAATTTGGGGTACAACTTAGTATATCCCAAGCATTTTTTTCATAAAAACTAGAGTTAAAAAGGGTTGTTCCAAATTAAATTCTCATTGTTACTTTCACAAAATCCAATAATGCAAACATTAAGAACACTTGTAAGTTGTATTTATAACTATGCATTCATAAGCTAAGAGAGATGTAAGCTGAGTTAAGTCTAGTGATATTAGTTTTACGACAAATTCTTATAATATGGTCCTTGTGTCCATGTTTATTTTATGGCCCTTCATATATAAACACAATGAAAGATTACAAAAAGAAAAGGTCCATTTCTCAACCAATGAATAGTGTAAGAAAGTCTACATTTTCCTTGTGGACATTAGGACCACAGAAGTACAACTTTAGTTTGAATTGTTTCTTATTACTCCGTATAATTCAATTTCATTTTAAATTAAATTACTCCATATAATTTCAATGTTGAAAGTAAAACCTTTTTGCAAAAGTAGCTCGTCATGTTTTTTTTGGAATTTTGGAAATTTTTACGTAGGACATTCTAATTCCAACAATTCATCTTTTTTGGAAGCATCTTTGAAAATTCGCCAAGTTTTTATTGGCGAAGTATCCTCTCGGCACGAGCTTTTGCCATCGAGATTAAGAAGAAAGGTCATAAGTGGTGAGGATACATTGGTGCGGGGTTCTCCGTGGCCAAGATAGTTATAATTTTGGACTTCAAAGCCTTGTTGACCAAAATATATTTTAGAATTTTATATT